ACCTGGGTAGACCCAAAGCTCACATAGATTATTACAGATGGGACATATCCCATCTGGTCTGGGAATTCCCTGGGACCCCCCTTGAAAAACTGGAGAATTAGCTTGAGAGAAGGAAGTATGGGATACCTTGCTTAACCTGATGCTGTGACCCGGACCCAGATAGGTGGCAAAACATGGATAGATTAAAGTACCTTTAAACCAGTATCCACCTTTTTTGTGTGAGAGGGGGAGACTGTTCCTTCACCTGGGAACCAGGGAAGCATATACACATTGTCATCTTGATCGTTGAATATGCTACCCTTGCTCAGAAGATCTGTGGACCTTCTTCAGGCTCACAGAATCCATAGTCTAATCCACAATTCAATATGGAGCCAAGTTCCAAACGAAAAAGTCTTTATTAGTATTTTCTATAGTATTCTGGAGTAGGTGTAACCCAGTTACAGCATCTTCAAAAAGATTACAGTGTGTTGTGAGAGCTGAGCTAAGAGGAGACAGCAGCTGGAGAGGTTGTGTCTGTGTGAAACCTTCAGTCCAGCTATGAGGCTAATGGGTGGCTATGCTGTAAACACCCAGAAATTAAGTAGAAATGCTACATCTGCCTGTGTACACCCTGGACTAGTGGTATACTTAAACTGTAAGTGACTTTAGACAAAAACCCATTCAGTGGCCCTCAAGGATTTCCGTCCTGTTCGTGCCTTGGCTTCATAATAATCATTTAGCCTGGACCAGCAGCAGCCAATCCTGTGCATAGAAGGTGTCTGTCTGTGATGTTCCAGATGATGCTGACAGCAGGGATAGAAGCAGACCTGTTAACTAGTTATCCCCCAGAGAGCGTGATGACCACAGAGAGAGGGTGTTTATATGAATGCTGCAGAGTATTGGAACAGAGATGAAATGGCGTTGATACTGTGCAGAGAGTCAGCAGCATGAGAGAGTAGGTGACGCCATATGAGAACAGCATCTGTCTCCTATTGGTGTGTGCGCTCCAGGGCCCTCGTGCCTCTCCACAGAAGGGCCAGGTTTTTACGTACATTGTTTTTTTGTGTGAATAAATGGCTCTGTTGGTAGCAGAGAGGGCATTCCTTCCTCTTTCAGCCTCAGTTTTTAGAAGTTACCACACAGGCTCACATCCTCTGGCAGCATCTGCTACCTTAGTATTCTAGAAAAAGTGGTATATGAAGATGATACAATGCAATTGTATACATAGATTTTTATATTTACAACTTTATTTATCTGGTTTATTTAATTTTTCTTTAATCTTTGTTTTCTTGTGACTCAACGTTGACTCACTGGGTAGCACAGAGTCAGTATAAAATACCTTTAGAAGCTTTTACAATGTTGCATTTATTCAACTATATACACCAACTCATAATGGACTATCAGCTATCATCTAATTACTGAGGTATTACATTATTTAAAAGAATTTACTAATTTCTTTTTAGAAGATATACCAGTAACATTTATGGACATAAAGTCAAAGGTGTCAGCTTTCTACAATAGTATTTGTGCCCAACATAGGCCCCATTTGTGTTTGTGCCTATAGCTGTTTAGAGCTACAAAATAGTTGCCAGTGATTATATTGATAGCTCTGCCTTTTGGCTGCCAAGTAATTGTTCCCATTTTCACAAATACCATTCACAAAACCACTGATTTTAAGTTGTTGTTTTTGTTTGTTGTGAAACGAACAAAACAGAGACTATGGTAACTAGTCCCTGGGCCCAAAAGATTCTTTTTAATGGCCTTGTACATTCTGTAGATATAATTAGGAAAGGGCACAGTCAAGGGATTATTAGGATGCTGATATATATTCAGTTCCTGTTCACAGTGCAGACGGACAGCTCTGAGGAGACTTTATTTGAAAGTTTCTCTTTTAAGATTCTGGTCACATCGTCACTTTCTATAAAGTTGTTGCTTGTTTAAGAATTTATGGAGATAGTGAGCACTTAAGCAGTAGTTGTTTTGCCAAGGACACAATATACCTAAGAATCTTTTCTGTGGCATTTTACTTTGACCTGTTTTACTGACCAAATGAAAAAGGAAATTCTATTACATTTAATGTGTGTTGAAAGCTTTCTAAGAGGAACATGCTTACATGTTGTTCCAAAGAGTAACCAACAATGATTATTAAATAAGACCATAAAAGAATAATCAGAATTCACATTCCCATTAATTTTCCAAAACGTTAAGGTACAGTATTAATCTTTAAGTTACTGGCAATGAAAATGTGTATGTGTCAGTGTGTTTGTGTGTGTGTCTGTGTATGTGCCCTGCTCTTTAAAGGGTTATCCAGTGTAAAAGCATTTTAAACAAACTATTCTTACCTGAAATGGGGCCTTCTCAGTGGTCTTGCAGGTTCAGTCCAGAAGTCCTGGAAGTAAAAGTGTATCTATTGGCAGTGTATAATCACCTGAAAATAAGAAGCGAGTGAGACAGAGGCGGAGATGTAAAGAGTCATTTCTTATTACTTCCTATGATAAGCAAGCATACTACATCACAGAAAGTGCTGGGAATATTTAAGTTCTCATCTTGTTTTATTTCAGACCTTAATAAACACATGGCTCAAACTTACAAAACATTGATGAGTCAAACAAGTTCTGTAGCTTAACAAAAGGAATATGCTACAACTTCTGTAAAAATGAATAAATAAAATATAAAAAAAATAAAATGTGTGCTTCCTGCTTTACAGAGGTAGCTATACAAAACAGACATCTTCTGTTATAATAAGTGCTTCCAATGCAAAAAAGTGCAATCTCGTACTGTAACGTAAATTTACATACTACTAATATACTTACAACTGTAAGGTTTTTGAAACTAGTATGATTTAACCCACTGGTAACAAAAGTGCAATCTTACAACTGTAAAGTTGCACCACCTCCTGAATGAAATTACAGCAGTCCACTGTGAAAATGAAAACTATAACTATATAATTACGTCACTTCATAACGTTTCCATGGCAACAGGGGAAAATGGCTGCTCTTGTGTGAAGTAAACACAACATTTTTCAACTTTCTGCTAAGATATATGTGACTCTTTTGCAACGAAAATGCGGGGATTATGAAATCATGCAAGCCCCGCATATTTTGCGCGGAAATCAGCAATTTATGCGGCGAAAGTGCAGCGTCTTTGAAAAAATGCGGCCACCGCATAAATATGCGGACTTTGGCTGATATTGCATTGAATTATGCGATCGCATAATCGCGTTTTTCTGGAGGGACTGTTTAATTGCAGCTGTAGTTAAAGATCACATCCTAATAGTGCTGCATCCTGGCATGGTTGAGAATTCATCAATGAACTGATGTTATTGCAGTGAATCAAAAAAAAACTTGGCACCAGCAAAGCAAAAACATCCTTTATGACTAGTTGGAGTGGCACGCGGCACAAATGGTTCAGTGTCTACACCCCTTCCCTGCCAGTAAAGGAAGAGTTTCTTCCCTCTAAATTGTTGCCTTATGCTTATATGATGATGTGGGAGTCTCCAGGGTCACTGTACATGTGGCACGCTCACGTCTCCCATCTCCTTGTCCTTGCCTCTTCACGCTCTGGCCCTCCAAGCTGACATGCTTTACTTTCCTTCCTTGAATTATTTCTGCAACTTAATTATCTGCCAAAACACAGACTGTAAAGCGGCGATGGCTCCTAGTTGAGGAAACACAATTTCTCACCATTCTAGAAACTAGCTAAAGACAGTTGTGTTCATAAGACAAATGCTGAAGATGACCCTGAACGCTCACCTGTGGGAATTCGGTCACATAGCTTAGATCATTCTGACTGAGTACTATTTTACCATATAGCAGCAGCAATAAAAGGTTGCTCCCTCCCTGGACAAGGCTGTCTGTTTAACTTGGCACTGAGCTGTAGTTTGTGGAGTTTAGCTTCCCATTCCTTTAAAACGTCCATTTATCAGAGGCTGATGTGAGTCTCTGAAGAACTTGCCTTTCTTTGGCTCGGCCTTGGTTTCTGTTTTACTAGCTTCTTTATTTTTCAGCCACTTCATTTTGTTTTGTTTTGTCTTTTTCAATTTGGAAGGTTCCTGGACTGAACCTATCATCACTGTTGGTGTAGAAATAAAGACACAAGCCACAAATCAAGATTGCACACGTTTAAGATGAAATGGCCAATTTGAGTTCTGTATCCTGATAAACCTCCTGATTTATAATAAGAGTAACGAGCCATGTTTTTTATTGCTCATTTATTCATAGGGTTGTGTCATTGTGGCAGTTGAAATTATGAGAGCGGCTGACAGGAAGAATGTTTTCAGTTAATTTTGTTGTGTTGCACCCGCCATACCTGTGCAGATTTGATGACATATTAGTTAAATTAGTTTCTATTTGTTTCAACCAATTTATAAGTCAGTCATGGGTTGCATCTGCCATTTTTAATAGGTTCTGACTCAAAACCACAACCCCAACCAATATCAAATTTTAACGCCTAAGCTTAACAAATCAAGAATCTGGAAATCTTTCAGTCGTTATCTGTTTTTGTTGTTGGAGCCAGACCTCTGGAGATGCCATGTCAACACAGTGGCTAGCCCTAACAAATCACACAGGCTTCCATCTGGACGACCTTCAAGTCAGGAACTCCTACTTAAGGACCATAGCCACAGAGCCAAACACACACACATGCACAAAACACACTCTCTTTCTTTGGACGTCTTTAAAACTCATGAACAATAAGAGTCTGATTAGATCCAGAATGGATTCAGGAAGTAGTGAAACCGTTTGAAAACTCGAGGAGTGCTTTCACACAGCCCGCTCTCTCCATTCCCACCACTCATGTATGTGCTCTGGCAGACTCTGTCTTTTGAAGTTTTTGACTGCTCCGCTGTCAAGTCCTACAGAACCTGTCACTTTTTCATTTTGGGTCATTTCTTTTATTACACAAACCTATTGGGAGGTCTTTTATGTAATAAAATGAAGGAAATAAGGAGTATAATGGCAGCATAATACAAAGCAGAACTGAAGGTTTTTTTAAACTTATTTCCTCTCTCTTTTGTCTCTCAGAAATCATCGATGACCTTGCACATCTTGTGGACAAGACAGACGACAGGATTCGTAACGAGACACGAAGAGTGAAGCTGGTGGAGACAAAGTCAGCCTCCTGTGGTGAGCCTTCCTCCTTTACCATCTTTGTCTAATATGAGGAAATCTGTGTCCTTGAAAATAATCACATTTAATCTGTTTATTTATATGATTGATTACCAAGCATCATGTTTCTCCTGTTTTTACTTCTTCTTCCCTTCTGCGGTTTACAGAGCATGTGTCTAACATAGAGTTGGACGAAAATACTAGCACTTCCCTTAGGTGTAATTTGACATGTGTATGGCAGTACTACAAAGTTATCATCTTTATCATTTAGAAATTGACAAATGGTGTTGCTATTGCTGCCTTGGCCTTCTTCTCCATGATGCTTAATGGAGAGGGTGTGGGTGGTGAACGGTGGGTGGACTGGTTCTGTCTGTCACAGCTGACATAACCTAACATAGTATGCTGGGCTTTAAAATCAGGAATCAGTAATCGGTGATCAAATGTATAGTTTAGTTTGATTTAGTTTATCTGTAAGGGACAGAGACAGTTGTAGGAGCAGTGTTCGATGTACTGTACACATGTAATTGATGGCCATTGATAGCTCAGGCTACCATTTAAAATTAAATTTTAATGTTTAAATCAGTGCATAAATAATCAGAGACAAGAACAACAATCTTCCATGACAGACAAATATAACAAACATTATAACATGAGCTTAAGTATACTAATAATAACTAGTCGGTGTCATGATTACAGTGTTGTCAGTGATGGTTGCAAATCAGGTCCTAATAGCAGTCTGCACAGGAGGCATTTTGGCAGCGTTTTTCAATCATATTTTAACCTTTCAAGTCTATTTTCTTCCATTTTACACCTGTAACTACATTGATTGTGTGTTGGGCTCTGATCGCTGCCAAAAATGCAACCTACAACTTAATAGTGTGCCTTAACGCATCCTGTGACACACTGAGCACTGAGGATGCTGCTGCTCTGTTAATTTGCCACTCATACCACACTGCCTGTATAGACACTGTGTGACCCATCAGCCTCTGTTGTCTCAACTCTCCATTTTGGTGAGTTGAGTTGTTCCCTGAGAGGCTTTGTGAATGCATGGCCCTCGCTCACCATTAAAAACAATCTGCTTCAGTTATTTTTTTTTTTTTCTTCATTTATAAATAGATTTAGCATCTTTTTTTTCATTCCCCTCAATAGGTAAAGCTTTTCTGAGGAAAATGGCTGCCATGAGTGGTAGCACCCTAATGCCAATCTATGGACTGTGGAAGGTTGAGCCAGGCTCAGTGTACCCAGTGAAACGCCGACAGGATTGCTATGGCAAAGGCTGCATTGTTGTACTAGGAGGCTAACAGGCGGTCACAGACAGAAGCAGGGTAGGCACTAAGGTCAGCCCTCAGAATGCTTCATTCTGTTGGTCGTGTCCCCATGGTGCCCGAGCGTGAGTTTGTTTGAAGATCCCAGAGCTCAAATTGTGTTAGAATCAGGACTCCTTCTTTTTGTTTAACTTGTTCTTTTGCAACCCCAACTCCCTCCTCCTCCTCCTCCTCCTCCTCCTCCTCCTCCTCCTCCTCCTCCTCCTCCTCCTCAGTTCCAGGCTGACGACTATTCATGTAGCATGTGTTTGCCTGTGTGCACCTGCATGTCCATATGCATCACAAGTATCTATGTGCATATTTTTTGGAGTGCACAAGTGTCCACTCAAGTGTGCAACTGTATTTGCTCTGTATGTTCTTGAGCATGCTTGTATGTATTGGACTGTGTGTGTGTGTGTGTGTGTGTGTGTGTGTGTGTGTTTGTGTGTGTGTGTGTGTGTGTGTGTGTGTGTGTGAGAATGGAAAATTCCCCCACAGTCTTCTTCACTCTAACCTCAATGCTCTCTTTCTTTTTTCCATTCCTCTCTGTCATCCCCCTGCTCGTCTCCTCAGTTGTTTGACACTCGTCTTTGTGTCAAGCAGAGAAAGAATTGAAAATACTACATGCCACAAATTGTTTGGAGGGCTTTCCCTCTTTCTCCATGGCAGCATGTTTATAATTCCTTAGCTTTAAGGCTTTATTTATTTTTGAAACCACCTCTCATCCAAAGCCGACGTTTGGTGTTATGTCTCAGCCGAGTCCTTGTAAAGCTAGAAGCGTCTGGCTTTGACAGGCGAGAGCATACTTAACATAACTATTGGTAGCTGCCTTGTTGTAAAGGAGGCATCTTAGTTTTAACAGATCAGATTCATGCTAAAAGCTGAAAACATTTCCAGAAGTTTGAAAAATGGTCTTCACTGTAGGATTATCGGTATTAATCATGAGACATTTGCACTCTTGAATTAGTGGCGAATCAGTTTTGTGTGCATGCATTCACCAGAGATCTCCACAAAACAGTTGAAAGGTTGAGAAGAATAAGCTGAGCTATGGGAAGGTTCATCTCGCCCCAAAAGGGAAGGACCCACATACTGCTCGACCATGTTTCCTGTGGCATTCTGTGTGGGACTGGTGCCTGCAGTGTTGTGAAACATCCATCGTGTTGAGACATACTGGATTTTTGTGTTAGCGAAGGCTTGTGGAGACATAATCTCCTTAATGTACAAGATTTAGACTTGATTTAACTGCATTAAAGCAGTTCCTAAGTTTAAATGTCTTATTATTTTACACTCAGCAGTAGTTACAAAGGACTTTACGAAAATAGGCCAATGCAAAATAAGACTAAACATAGACTCTTTCTATATATATATATATATATATTTATATATATATATATATTTATATATATATATATATATATATATATATATACATACATGCTTTTGGACTTTGAACCAACCCTCTTTCAGATTTAAAAAATCCTGAGGGAGTAGAAACACAGTCACATTCATAAACTGCACCTCAATACTTTTATGAGTACAAAATGTGTCCATAGAAGCAGCTAGTATTACAAATATTTAGTCTTTGTATTAGTGCTGAAACTCAGATATCTGACTAGCGGTGCGCAGCCTGAAACAGTAATTTATTTTTTAACTGATGGGCCAATGCTGTCACTTACGCAGAGCTAAGCCTCATTCACAGAGTCATTACCACTTGTTTTAGATGATGTTGGTGGGAATTGAAGAGTTGAGGCTTTGAGTTTGGTTGGATTAGTGTGGCAGATTAGTCTACGGGACCAAAGGGTCTCTTGGAGAGTAGTGTGAGTTCCCCGGAGCTTAGGCATCACCATCAGGCAACATCGGCACTTGAGCAGCCCTTCTCAACAGAGCTAATCCTCAGTTTGTGGAGGGCCACTTCTGCAACCCCATGAATCCCGCAGGTGGCTCGCATCTCAAGTAGGTTTGTACTGTTTGGACTAGAGGGGATGTCTATTGAGACTGTGGGTGAGGGGCAGCATTTGACAGTGCTGGGAGAAGAGCATATAGGGCGAGTAACTGCATTAAGGCTTTAGTTGTCAGTCAGGAGTTCAGATTTTGCTCAAGAGGGAAGTCTAACTTTTAAAACTCTACTGTCTACTTTAATCAGTTAGATATTTCCTTCCAGCTCTTGTTTCTCTTTTTGCCTGCCATGGTATACTGTTGGAAACCTGAAAATCCAATTGAATACGACGACAGGATTGCTTTAAGTAATACACCCCGCTAATTATGTTTCCACATCTGAGATTCCTCTTAGTGAGTGGCAAGTTCAATTAAACTCGCCTTGAGAAATCTATAAATATTTGAAACCCTTTTCACATCAAATTTTTGTCAGGGTTTCAGTGAGAACAATTTAGTACTAGTTATTGTGCTCACACCACAAAATTACACCATGTTGCGTATGGTTTCATCTACCAGCTAAATATATTATATTCCCTCAACAAGGTAATTTATTGGCAGACTATGGGGTGAATTGCATTGCAACAAGAGAACGTTAGGAAAAGATTGAAGGAAAAATAATAAATAAGTGTAGGCACGCTTGCTGCTTTGTCCAGTACTTCTACTTCTAAACCTAAAAAACCTGAATTATATTCCCATCAGCTGTACTTTGCTTTTAGTTATATTAGCCAATATTAGCATGCTAACATGATAAATTAAGATGGTGACCATGGTAAATATATCTGCTTAACATGTTAGCATTTCATTGTGACTATGTTAGCATTCTAATATTAGCATTTGACTGAAAGCACTACTGGGCCTCAGTACATTGTTGCTAGCATGGCTGTAGACTCTTAGTCTTTTTAGATTCTTACTAACACACTATTTCTGTTATCGTATTAAAAATAATTGAGAAATACATGTTTATATGTGTATCTAATACTTCAAGCTTAAAACCATTAAAAGTTTTTGTTCACTTCAGTTGTGCTTTGAGAAGAACGAGGAGCGTAAAACTAACCTTGTTAATATAAAATGTGTCCCTTTTCTTTTAAAGGTCATCCTCGCCTTTTGTGCTCCAAAAAGATCTTTGAACCATAAGTAGGGGGCACAGCAGGACTAGCGAGGGAGGTTCAGGGGTTGTCTGACCAGGGCTCTCAGCAATTATTCGTTTTCTCTGTGATTTGTCTTACTGATGTGTCTGGAAATTGCTAAGATGGGATGGACCCAGACTCTGGCCTCCAAAGCTCCTGGGTGGTCAGTCTATCAGCAGACACAAACTATCTCCCTCAGCATCAGTGTCACACCACAGCCCTAATCTATTTGGCAAGCAAACGACATTATTGTCATTAGTCTCTGGAGGCCTCCTGTGGGTCAGGAGTAGCTTGTTTAGTTTCTGAGGCAGACAGGGTTGGTCCACAGAGAACAGGAGGGTGAGGGTCACTGTCTAATGTGGCTTCATGACTGACTGTTCTTTGACATTAGAGGGTGTGAGAGCCTTGCTCCACAATAATATATGCATGTGTTATACAGCTCAGCCTTTATAGCTATTGTTGCTATAGTGTTGTCAAGTGAAGTTGCTGACAGATGTTGGACTAGGCTGAATGAAATTCTTATGTCTGAATCTAATGTGGACTAGGCGTTGCTTTGGTATCATTTACAACCAAACGAAGATAATTGCTGGAAATGTGTGACTGTATATTTGCTTTAAGCATGAGGCTTTTAAAGAGCCATCACAAAACCTATTTGAGGGTGTTTCTTCTTTGACATTTATATTATGCACACATGTGTAAGTTATCAGGAGGAGAGGTCCTGTCTAGAGCAGTGATAACTTCTATCATGCATGTCCTGTGGACCTGTATATGAACACCTTCTCCTCAACTAGAATAGAAACACACTGTGTACAAATAATTAACTATATGCAGAGAATGAGATAACCAGCTATAAATACCTAAAAGAAACAAAAGAAATAGATGACAAGAGTCAAAAGTGGTGCAAAGACATCTGGACCCCTTACAGCCATACCCCATATCCTGGCAAAGAAACCAGCATCAGCCTTACATTTCATCAGACCACTACCACCGCAAGCAATTAGTTCAGCATGGCTTATATCTCGCCCTGTCTCTCTCGTTGTGGGAAAGACGACCAATTAGGCCGCGGAGGGGAACGCAGGCGGAGAGAGCCAAAGAATGAGAGAAATGTAAACCCAAAGTGAAAGGCTGGAAAAAAATACCAGCCGCATGCTAAATAACAATGGACAACTTGAGTCAGTGAGGGGGACTGTCGACAGCGCTCAGACCAGCCAGAGATGCAGTTGTTTGAGATCTTCACTCCTGTGCCATACTGGAAGGAACAGAATAGAACAGAATAGTGGGTGAACACACCCATGGGGAAGGTTTTCTATATATTATGTGTGTGGCAAGGCTGGTGATATAGGTCATATATGTGTATATATATATATATATATAACACTACACTAAGGGATAGACCACCGCACCCTAAAGGCATTCAAAGGTATAATGTTAATATAAGCCACCCACCATCACTTCTCTCATATAGCCCCTAAAATACCGATGTTGATATGTGAGAATTGAAAAAATCAGGTTACAATACATTAGCTGGTATTAATTTCCTCATACATAGACATATGACATTTTTGAAAAGGATCCCTTAAATTTGGACTGAGCCAAACACTTTCAGTTGAAAAATAAACTTTTCGGTGCTCTCGGTTTTTTCCTTTTCTCAGTCAGTGGTGCTTTGGCATTTCTTCTCTGCAATTACCTAATTAGTTACCTATTAGCTGAAATGTTGCGATACTGATATATCTGCGATAAACTAATATTGGCCTGAAATACCAGGTCATTGATTTATTGGTTGTACTTCATCTCTCATTTCGTTATCTCCTTTCTTTTTAATTAGCAAAAAGATAATTTTGTCTTGTCATATCAGGAAAAGCACAGATCAGTGAAAGCACTGTTATAACATCAACAATAGCTTCAATCCATTCACATGTCCTAGTAAGTTGCGACAGTGAACTTGACTTTTAGTACTTTGAATGTCAATCATTTGAGAAAAAACCCTAAGAATTAAGTTATTTGTGGCTTTTGTTATAAAAGTTAAACCTAACTAGATTCAGTAAGGCATTCAAATGATTCACATTCAATAAAATTAGATTGTAAAATACGGTCATCTTTTTACGAAGGATGAAAATTCCACCTGTAGTGGATATTACAAAGGAGAGGTTTTTTCCCCTTGGGTGGTGACTATAATAAAAACTGTAATATTTTCAGGTCCCGGGGGTAAAGCGCTTTGATGATGTGTGAGTGAGCTTTTGCACATTTTTTCTCTGCTTCCATAGTATCAATGAAAAACAATGATTATCCTCTCAAGGCAGAATCAGAAACATATGCCTATCACAGTGTGCAATCTGTGGCAATAAAGCTTTTGTGGCTTTTGAACGCATGTAAATTGCATTAAGTCATCAAGAGAAAAGTGGTGATATGCTGTGAGGCCATACGCACTTGGGACTTGCGTTAGATCAAGGACTTTGAAAATGAGTGGTGAGGTATATAGGCTTCTTACCTCTTCCAAGTGCATTCCCTTGTGTCTGCTACATGTCACTCCTCCTCTGTGAGTCTGTCTCAAATCAGTTTTGGAGTTCCTCAGCTGCTTGACATTTGAATTTTTTCGATGTTAAAGTTGGGGAGAATTTGTTGAACTGCAAAGGTTTTATCGCAAAAAGTTCAAGCAAAATGACCTAATTTAAAAAGTCTGACTGTCTAACCACTTACCAATAGTCTTCTTCGGTCTTTGATTGTGTTTGTTGCGTTTTTTCTCTTTCTACCTGCATAATATAACTGTGACTTTATACATTTCTGAAATTTGACCAATTTACAGAATACTAAATACATACAAATAACACATACAATGCATAACTGAGATGTAATCTCCTAATCAGAGATAGTTTGTTATGAAACGTGCAGACCGATAAGCTTAGTGAGCATGATGACATAGTGTTTATATCTAGCTAATGAAGTGAAGTCTGGCATTCTTCTATATTTATCTTACTGTCAGCAAATCCCATGAAAAGACCAAAACCAACAATGCGTCAGTCCATATCTCAATACATCCCTACTCTTTCTGTGGCCCTCAGGCCCAAGTTAATTTGTTTCTGCTGAATATGTTTAAAAGCAGGCTACGAATACGTTGTTTAATTTTTTCTAGTTTCATTTGTGAAACATTTCTTTTTTTTAGAAAATGTTATTCAAACAGGAGTAAGTATTGTATTTATTTGGGAACTATTTCCAGATGTGGATTAATACAAATTTGTTGCTCTAGTGAGTATTTATTTGTGGGATGAAGTGTGATACATTAATGTGTTTTTGATTTTTGGACAACAATGGAGCTCTATGGCACACAGGAATAAACAGCATCAGGCTTTGGATACACAGACTTTGTTAATAGGATCAATTCATTGTTGGTTTTAGTCTTTGGAATGTGTTGACAGTAAAAAAACCAAAAACATTTGTACAACTGATTTGGATTTTGCCATCTGATTTCCTTTTTTCCCCTCATTTTTCCTCCTTCAGGGATGCTGGTGGTGATCGTACTGCTTCTCATAGCCATCGTAGTCATCGCCGTGTGGCCCGTGTAGCCGAGGAGGACGGCAGTGATCATGGACCTGTGCTCAACTACAGTTTTGGTTCAGATTACCAGTTAAAAAACTTTGCATCCACAGTGCACACACGTATAGAGACTTATTTAAACGATGTCTCTCATCAGATTTTATTTTCTTATTCTTTCTCTTCCCATTGAGTCAAAGGTCAGTGGTGACTGCCCAGCCAAGGCAATGTGAATTGAAAACTTAAGTCCTTCAGCAGCACAGTTACTTTCTTTCTGCACAGTTAAGTTGTTGGTTGGGTGAAACGCATTGGTAACCCTGCAGACATATTGCGTAGGTGTAGGTGTCCTCTTTAATAGTTGTTCAAGTGTCTGGCTCATTTAATGTATAAAATAGTTAAATTATTTGGAGGTTTATGATCCCTTTGAAAAATATTTTTAGCCTGGACTGTGGCAAATGTTGACCCAACAGTAGGACCTCCCGTAGGTAGCGGGAGTTTTCCTTTCATTAGCCTGTTTGTGGTCTGGGCTGAGGCTCTCACCGGGTACAGTAATTCTGCAAGCTTTGCAACATTCACACTCACTTATATTTACCCATGCATTGCTTTAGCAGCTGTAATGTTATCATTTGTCTTGGGATTTTATAACGTTTATAAAAGAGCTTTCAGCCAAAACAAACAAGCTCTGCTGTGTTACTAACATGGCTGTTTTCCTTCCTTGTAAATCAATTCAGCTTGTAATTTCTAATAAATGACATTTTCAGTTAATAGTCCCTTGACTCCTGTCTGTCTGTGTTAATGCTCAGGGATTACTCTGCAGGATTGCAATGTTTTGTAACATGATATTTAGCTGGGGTTGACCTTTGACGAAGCTTGAACGCACTACCACTTCTATATTTCCATTACTAAATCTGCATAATATTGTTTTCATAGTACTGTGCTTGTGCGAACCAGTAAATGAAGAAAAGCTGACTATATGCCTTAATATTAGTTAATAACTTAATAACTACACAAAAAGTTAAATAAACAAAAGAACAACCTAATAACTAAAGAAACAAAAGAGCAATTATTCAACTCAGCAGGCAAATAGTTTTTCAATGTAATGAGTTTATTTCAACTGAAAATCTGAATTTAGTTCTACCAGGTTGGTGTGATCAGTAGTTATTATTTCCTTCTTTAATGGCAACAATCTAAACAACCACAAACATGTAAAAAAAAAAAAAGTTGAAAAAGACAATAAAATCCACAATGTCTTGTGTCATTAAATATATTCATATATAATAACCGTAATATATTAGTACGCATTGTAAAACAACATTGCAAAAAGTCTTGGCAATGGTGACTACTAAACAACATTTACAATTCATAGTATGAACACAAAGCAATGCTTTGACAGGTACTGTATGTGTGTAGCGTTTCATCAGGAAGCTTGTCAAACCATTGCTCAGGAGACAGATGTAAAATTTACAGCATGAGGCTACAGAGACTAAAGAGGTGTAATTACAGATTACATTGTGCCAAACAGAAAAACATTGACATGTAATGGTATGCTGTAAGATTAACAATGATAGGCAGGAACATGTAAATATACTGTATATGTCTATGTAAGCATGTCGGTGAAGCCACCAGCACGTAGCATCATGATGGACTGACATCAAAATCACTTGATTGATTGTACAGTCAAACACTCAATCTAAATGTAAATATTGAGAAGTACCTCAGCAACAAGGTCATCTATTTCTTTTTAATCTTACAATTTAACCCAGGTGATTTTGGATTTCTCACGCTTTATAAATCCCCTCTAATTTGTCATCATCTAGGAGGCATTTCGCTCCATTCCGAAAATTCCTGCACAAATGAGAAGGTTTCTGAGATAGTGGAATCAAAATTATTGCCATTTAAAACAAAGGAAGTAGAGCGTGCATTAGATTAAAACCATGTGTCGTGAAAAGATCTTAAAACCCTTTTTATTGTTACTTGTGCTGTGGGACAGTTTTTAAAAGGTGCTAAATGTGATTTTGTCAAGCGGCAAACACCAGCAACATCAAACATGTTGCTCAAAGTGTTTTTTTTGGGATGGTTATGATACATCAGATACACTATGGCCTTTTACAAACCTGAGCTGTGTTTTTTTTTTTTTTTTTCTACCACGCATTCCTTGGAGAAATCCAAACTGAACTGCATACAAATAAATGAGCAATGTGGTTTGAATCAAGCAGCGTCAAGTGATTGCAATTCACCCCATTTCTCTGTGCAAGTGTTGAGGTGAAGAGAATTAACGTGACAGGTCAATGAGAGACTGCAGCTCCTGACTGGTTGCACAGAGTCCTTTTTAGTGAATGTACAGTCAAGCATTTGCTAAAGAGTGTGTGGACTATATTTATCTGCAATCTCATAGTACTGTAGGAATTATTCTAGATGCCGTTTGCAGTAAAGTTTTCGTTTTACTGCAGTAGGATTCGTTTCTGCACCACATGAGGTAAAAAAAAAATTTCTTTGCTTTATGCCTGAAAATCTGCATCGATTGAGTTAAATTTAACTTAAATGTCTGGTTCACCATTACAATACAGCTTTTCAGATTCCGTGCATTGGTAGCCATCCACATTGTTGTACCTCAGTGAGAGGCAGAGGATGTTTTTCTTCCTTTGTCTTGTTCATGCACATTTTAAAAGATAAATGTAGACCCATTTTACAGAGTGTTTTTCACGAGCTGGTGTGAAGTGTGATAAATAATACCGAAATCTGCATTGTCGTAATCGTGACAAATTATATGCACTTCTTTGTCAGTATCCTCTGAGAACATGTAGTACTGCACAACAATAATGTTGCATCTTCTGGCACAATGGCCTACCTTAGGCAACAGTTTTAATCATTTTGTGGTAGAATAAGTAAATACTGTCACTAAAATGTAGATGAAGTGAATTAAAACATTTGACTTTTTGTTTTGTAGCCACAAGAAGAGAACTCATATTCATTATTATTTATTTCTGTTAGCGCCATCCCAGAACCATTTTGACTTTGTAAAGAGTTTCATAGTATTTTATAACAATTAATGTGGGTGGCCTTTGTCCTTTTGTAAGTCAGTTGTTAAACTAAAATAAAAATCACAGTTACCGTAAGTACTGAAAGTGAAATCAGTGATTTTAAATGCAGTTTGTCCCCTCAAAAAAAAGCATTATTGACATTAGTACCATGAGCAGCACCTGTTAGTGAATTGAACATTACAGTCTCAAATGAGAAGCATTCACATGCAGGTTTGTACAAATACTGAACCATCAAAATGTAACCAGTAAAGTGTGAAGCGGTGAATAGGGGAGTGAAAATGTGCTCAAGATTAATCAGGTCAAAAATGCTTTAGTCAATACCGTGTTTTACCCTTGCTCATCTGTCACTCGTGTATTCTAAAGCAAAAAATGGAGGGCGACATATTTTCTTGTTTCTTGAGTGGCAGATATACCTGAATTTGTACAACAGGGGAAAGGAATGGCTGCTCAGTGACACCTAGATGTACTATGCATTTCTGTAGCTTACAAACAATAGTTTTATGGCACAATTCTTAATGGAGGAAAATATTACAGCCTCAATCAGATCAGTGAAGACAAGCTCGCTTCTTAGCTAAGAATACAATAAGAAAACCATGCAGGGGCAAAATTGCAGTGGTAATTAAGTGGCTTTTTTCTGTCATTTTTGCACCAGCAGAAAATGTCCATAAAATTAAAACATAAAATATAATGATTTCATACTGAGATAAAGAAAATGAACACAAATAACTTTATATGCTGGTAATAGGTGCAAATTCGGCAAATCCACAAGAGAGACAAAATCTCAAGGTAAAATAAACCATAAAACCAAATCTGCAAGATGAGCTCCTTCAACAAAAGTTCACTAGAAAAACAAATCATCCTAAATAATTCTCTTCATGCTTCTACACAAAAAAGCAGCGACATAAACAGTCTCTTGTCTGTCCGTGGTCCTCTGTCTGCCCCCTTTCACTTTTTTTTTTTTTTTTTTTTAAATGACCCGCTCAGCTTTTCTCTTGAATCCCTCTCCCTCTCCGGCATCCTCTCCATCTTTTTCCACCTATGGCTTCTTGCACTTGCCTTTCTTCTCACGCTGCTGGAACTTCCTGAGCCTGCGCGCCCATGTGTCCCTCCACTGGATAACCAGGCTTCCTTTGTCTGCCACCACTCCGCTCTGGCCGGGGGAGTCCTCGTCATTCCCCAGCAGCAGGTACTTCTTCCCAGGCTTAATCTTGGGACACTTGCAGGCCACGTCTTTGGCGCGGACCCACAGGAACTGGTCCCCGCGGCGGATGCGGCTCTCGCCCTGCTTGTAGACGGAGATGATGTTGACGGTGAACTTCCACCACTCTCCAGCTTTGTCTGCCTTCAGGATGTGCACCTGGACGGCTGAGAACAAGAGATAACACATTATCACTTAATGTCAGATTTCTTACATTCAGCTGTCATGGCAATCTAGTGTCTCAGCTGTAAAGGTTACTTCCTCAACAACACTAAGAGACTGTGAGGCTGTAATTAGGGACAGCGGTCATTGGGGCGAAATGCTAACAAAACAAAAAATGTCAACCTGCTGTTGGTGCCAGATGAAAAGTCTGTGGATTGCTGAAGTCTGTAAGATTCATCCTATGGGGAACATGAATGTCTGCCACTTATCATTGCATATTTATTGAGGTACTTAAACAAGATACAGTAGGTCGACTAACGACCACTCTCCTGCATGAAGATATGCATCTATTTTAATTATTTTAACTAAAACTATCAGCTTCTAGCTACTAAAGAGTCACCACCACATCCAAAGATCTCCATCACAGTCGAAGGAAAAGGTTGTTTTTTTGTTTTTTCCAAACACATGGGCTCTTTTTCCAACTGTGGTCATTATTCATACATCAGCACAGGCTGTCCTCAGCAATCACGGGCGTCGAGTTGGCAGCTAAAATCACATCAGTGAGTGCTGACCCATGCTTTGGCAAAGAGGGATCATGTCATAGTATCTAGAGCTCTGATAGCTTCTGAGAGGACTGGTTGATTTGGCTTCTTATATTTAGGATTTCTTTGCAAGAATGCAACAGAGAGTCTTACAGGGTCAGTTTGCTTGATACTAAATGCTTTAAATGCCTGCTCGAACAGCTTCTGAAATCCCCCTCATCTAAAGTTGCATCCGAGAACTTTTGTAACTTGCCAAAACCGACAATTCAGCAACCTCCGCTACTTCACACATTGATTGGCCAGGTGTGTGGAGGTGAGAAAGTATGCAGGATTTGAACTTCTTTTTCTTTTTTCTATCTTCACACAGCTACTTCCTTCACATTTAGTGTGTACAAATTAGCACAACGCCATGAATGCTTTTAAACCAGGTCCTTCAGTGTTTGTATAATGCAGCTTGTGATATAATATAATAATAATAATATAAATAAGATTTTTGAAAGTGCCTGTCCTTTTCCAAGCTGTTTTTAACAATGACTTCCAAGTTCTGTTTAACAAACAATCTGACGGAGTCAGGTTAAGATTTAGTAGGCTACAGCTGTTATAAGATAAGATGTTCCTTTATCGCCCATGGGAGAAATTCAGTGTGTCAGATACACATGTAATCAGCATAAAATAATTTTATTGGATTGGACACCAAATGTTAAAGGGCTCAGATAAAAAAGACTTGATATCTTGACATGAAGTTGGATATTTTTCTGATATACAAAAGAGCTTTTACAGTGCTTACATACTGGAACACAAAATAAATTCTCCCATTTTTGACAGAACATGAAATATATTGCACAGAATAAACCCAACAGGAACACTAGAACAGAAACACAGAAGTTTCCAGCTTGGTGGGGCCATCAACACTGGCTCAATTATCATCAATCATCGCCATCAAATTAGTATCAGCCGCTGATAATACTGATGATAACAATGACAAATCAACTGAAATGATAAGAAGCAAGTATGATAAGAACTGAGAAAAGGGAGAAATGACAAGATCACAGGCACCCATGTACAAATCCTGATAAAGTACACTCATAGTATGAATGCTGTTTTTATCCTCAGTGGAAAACGCTGGTCTTGTGGTCCAGCTATGATGTACAGCTCCACATGCATTATGTCCATTACTACTGACAGAGTAGTGTGATTTGTAATGTGATTAGGAGGCAGAGTACGGCTATTAGAGATGGTTGCTGGAAAGACACTCAGTGATATTACATGATGAATCAACTGCTATGGTCCTCAGAGAGCGAGATGGAGGGAGGAAAAGAAAGAGTGAAGAGATGGAGCAAAGAAAGGGTTGCCTCTCATGTATCAATATATATCGTATTGACCAGATCTCTATTAAGTTCCATTATACTTCTCCTGTACTTACGTGGACAGCTTTTAAAATGAACCACTGTGTTACAGGGTCACTGATTTCACCTTCAGTGTGGAGCTAATGGAGCTGAACATCATGGCAGTATTATTCTGTATTCAGAGTACGTTTTTATCCATATCTATGTTGGATCACAGCCTTGGGAGCCACATTTTATGGATGGTGATGGTGAATATAAAATAAAAGTGAACGTAGCCCTTCCTGACTTGGGAAAGACACTCTTCTAGATTATACTTTTAGTGTTCCAATCCTCTTTAGTTATCCCTTTATTTTATTTTTTTAAAACTTTGTAAAGCACATTGGTTTTCCCCCTGTATATGAAGAGTGCCAGTACATATGTGTATGTTTATATATATATATATATATATATACAGTATGTAAAGTCTGCCTTGCCTTGCCTTTTACAAATACAGTGTGATGAACCGCTGGTATTTTTCTGAAACTCTGAATTTCCATTAAATATCTTTAGCTGAATATCCTCAACGTTATTCTACATAGAAATGTGTGAGGTTTATGTTAGGCCCACCAGTTTTAATTATTTAAACTTTGTTCCTGAGAAATCATATATTGTCCGCCAGCACGGTCAAAATCTCAAAACCCTACACTACCCATGAGCCATTTCAGCTGCAGATAGATTTGTCAGTGTAATCTCTATTAATTGGATTTCATGTTTTTTTTACCAACTTTTCTATTTATTTTCAAACCCTGTTGTATCTTTTGTACTGATGATTGAAACAGGAACATTTCATAACAATCCAAGCCATAGAAGCACTCCAGCCAAGAGTCTCTTAACATTGTCAATGTAGAGAACAAATGGGACTGAAACCAAAGGCACCCGAAATACTTCCTCCTACTTTGCAACTCTATTGAGCTGTTGTTTGCTCGGTACTTTATCGTTCTTCTTCTGCTAATGTTTGTAGATCATATTCTCCCCAGTTGTACAGTATGTCCCCTGAGGCCTGGTGTCAATAGGGACTCAATGGCAGATCTGGTGTGACCCTATGGTGACCTTGGCACCACCTTGCACCGACCAGCTGCCACCAGGTGCTGTTCTCTCTGTTTGAGTTTAAACAATCAATGTACACTGAAATGCCTCGAGTTGTTATACCAGGGATCTTTCCGAGACCAGACATTTCCAACCCCTCCCTGCACCCCGCTCCCTCCTGTGACTCTTTATGTGTGTTTGTATATCGACCACAGAAGCTTGTAGCATCGTTTCCCTACGCAGCATGGAGCCCAGCTCCCCTGCTGATCTTTTCAAAACAGTCCAAAGCTATGGCTCTCTCAATTTATCCTGTAGATTTACATTGTGTTTGACTTTTCGATAAGCTTCGCTGAACTCATATGGTAAATACTGTACAGGGATCCTGTTCTGGTCTGTTACGAATCTTCAATGCTGTTGCAAACTAAGGATGGATATGACAAGGAGCTTAATGGCTCTCATGTACATCGCCAGCACAAAGCCCCCCTGGTGAAGGCAAGGCGGGGAGAAAGTGGATTACATAGAGGATGATGTAACACGTAAAGCTAATCATGGACAGATGGATTAAAGGAAATGTTTTAACAATAATATATGATAATATGGTTATAAAATTATTTAAAATGTACATATTTACTATTTTTTACTTTGAGAACAAAATGATCTGTTCTTTTTATATATGAATACTTTAAATCTAATACTGTCCATGTGTAGACATGATCAGTTCTACATGATTTTTATCATGAAAATAAGAATAAATCTTCCCTACTGTCTTATAACCAAATTCTACCAAACCCCAAATTTCTCTATTTTGTACTTTATTATACTTTGCCTCAATATCTGCCTCCATGTAAAAACTTCCATTTGTCTTTTGCTTGCTGTTATCTCAACCATCGGTACCAGCAGATCCACAACACTTCACACACATACACATATACATACACATACACACGCACACACCAAATCAGGTGGGAGGCTCTCCTGGCTTCAGTCTTGGGAGATGCTCATACATGAGGGAAGTGTGTTGAGTGATGGTGTCTCCAGCAGGAAATCCTCTCTTTTTACCTCTCCACCCTCGAATGGATACTGCCTGCTGTTATCATTCAGGTGTTACATAAATGTTCTACTGATAAAATGAGTGTTTGTCATCAATATCTTATTTTAACTAAAAATGTAACCTGATATTGATAGTTGAGCAACATTGTCCACTGTCTGGCAAAGCCGAAGAAATGTACACAGCCGCGTAGCTGACACATTCATGCATGAATTGATACATATTTCAGAGGCAAGGCTCTTCTCACGACATGAGCAGCAAGGTGGGCATTGGTGGAAGAGGAGGTGTCTATAAGCTGACCCCCTAACTCCCCCAAATCCCTGCAGAACAAAGCCCAGGCCTGTCTGTCAAGCTGCTGAGGTATGCTGCAGGATGCCGCTGCTTGGTTGACCGGTTCAGCAGCCTGACTTCAATCATGGGAGGGGACAGAGGGAGGGGAAGAGGGGAGAGGTCATACGTCTTATCCACACCTTGAATGGCGTGGCGGACGGACGGTCACAGGAATGCAGCGAGAAGCGCTTCGGTTGTGGGGGAAGTGGGCTGCCTTAATGAGGATCTCTTAGAAAGCATCCACTGTCCGTGACACTGTCTTTGCTTTTTCCGCCCGGGTCTTAAATGCCCGCTCGGAGACAACCCCCCCCACCCACCCACACACACACACACACACACACACACACACACACACACACACACACACACACACACACACACACACACACACACACACACACACACACATACAGACACACACACACACACACACACACACCTCTTCCTAATTCTTTATCCTGGCCTTTCTCTCCTTCTGTTTGTCTGCAGCCTCCCTGAAGATAGCAGATCTTCTGTTTGATCCTTTGTCTCTGTCCTCAGAAAGCTGGAGTAAGCCATCAGTAAAATGCCTCCCCTGTAAACTATAGCAGTTCCCCAGCAACCTTCTGGACTGGGATGTGTGGGATGTGAAGTATTATGGGTCCAACTTTTTTTCTTTCTTTTTTTTATCCAGAGCCCAGTCAGTGAAAAAGGAAACTGTGTGTTTCTTCCATCAGACCACATGTTTTTAAGCTTTCCTGTAGAAATAAATGTTAATCCAAGTCAGTAAATGTAAACTCTGTGTAGTCTGTTGACTCACCGTAATCTTTCTTGCAGTACTTCTTCATGTTGATTTTCAGTTTGCCTTTAGACGCCTTGCAATAAGAGTCGCAGTCTGCAAGAATAAGAAGGGAGAAAATACAGTTAGATGGCTAGAAGGAAAAAACAAACAGGGCATGAATTATTATTTTAGTAATGGGGGGGGTTGTGAATTTGTTAAGAATTCAATGTTAGGGAGTTTGAAACATTCTCACATTAAATAATTTTTTAAAAAGCCATTGCATGCCTCATTTTTAATACATTTTCATAAAAAAAACTGTTAAATTGTTCCCACAATTAATTGTAATTTGTAAAAAATTGTAAATAATTGTCCAATAAATTGTGTTCAAAGAATCATTTAATAATTAATAAAAACTAAGAAGAGTGAACAAACTAAGAAATTGGATTAAAATACCAAACACACCCAATACTTTTTTTATTTTGCTGCTCAAGTAATTTATAATAATTCATATTATTATTATTATTATTATTATTATTATTATTATTATTATTGAATGGATGGAATTATCCTCATGCCCTCTAACAAAAAACAAACAAAAAAACATCAGGTAAAAATCCCCTTCAATATTAAGGAAGTTTAATTCATGTTATATTTGGTAAATGTATTTTATTTTTTATTTTTTTGCATGTCTAAAGGTAGTTGTAAAATTGAAACACACTATAGATGAAGTGGGAGTTACATTACTGACTAATAATGACCATAATGAACTAATCATTTCCACAATATTGATGCACATGAATTTCTTTCCTCTTTTGGGCCTACATTTAAACCAGTGTTTTAACAAGCTGCACCAGCAGCGCTTTAGGAGAAATACAGATGACCACTGCCTACCCACTCACTGCCTGTCAGACTGTGGGAATGAGTCAGGCCTATGCAGACCACCCCACTTCAACCCCCACCTCCCTCCAAATCTCACCTCGCTTGTCACCTCAGCCTCCGACCTCTTGAAAAAAATAACCCTGGGATCACTTCAAGGCCCCACCGAGGACCATGTCAAGCTTTTGCATTTATTGCAGTGTGGATGGTGGGGGGGGGAGTGCGCTAAGGGCTGGCAGCTATTTGAGGGAGTAGAAGGTGGGGGGTGTGAAGGGGGTCAATGCCACACAAAGGGAGGTCAGAAAGGGAGAATTAGCCATCCATGAAGCGTTAGGCAGAGGACCCTTTTGGGTGGTGGTGGTGGTGGTGGTGGGGGGGGGGGGGTGTCCACTCTTCAAATAAATACCTCACGCAGGCAGAGGGGTCACCCAAATTGCCTCAAAAGCTCACACACACATACTTGTGTATGTATGTACATGCTCCTTGAGGTAGATGAGTGAGTACTTAAAGGTGATTTCAGCTTGATTTATCATCCAGATAACAACCTCAAAAAATAACATTTTGTATTTGCTAGAGATTGTTTGAGACATCTTCTGTGCACAAAATCATATAGAGCTTTTATTAAAGTTTCTATATTGCATCTGTGGAGATATGAGAACATTTGAAAATCTACTCTGAGTCCAAATGGAGAAGAGTGGAGAGTGTGTGGAAGTCAAAGACAGCGCTGTATTGAAGATATCAAATACATAGTGTGAAACATATTTCTCTAACACAATCATACTGTACTGTATCTCCACATGTTTTTAATTATTGGAAGTAAACTGTTATTTTTTGTTGAGGGCTGACGACAAATGCATTTCAGATTATATATACTCCTGCTCCTTGTCCAGAAAGATCCATAAGGATATGCATATGCATATGTCAGTTTTATGATAGATTACCAGGAGGTGAAGGAGGCAACAGTATATCCCTCCCTCCCACTTTACTGGCCCCAGCAATCCACAGAATACATAGCTTCAGTGATTGCCCCATGCTATGCTGTCACGCTGCCAGACACTTACAGTGCCGGCCAGCATAACGTGATGTGAAGCCATATCATCAAAAAAAAAAAAAAACATATGCCTTTTTTCTGCTCCTTTAGCGCTCTCTCAACTGGCATAAATTGGATCCAGAGTACTGATTTAGTTTACACTTCACTGCTGCAAGTTGTAATGAGTATAGTAAAAGAAAAGAGAGAAGGAACGAGGGAGCAAGAGATGGATGGACAGCAAGTAGTAGTGGAGGAGAATGATGGGGTTTTTGAAGAAGGATTGGAGCTTTCAGGCTGCCTGAATATGAACAAACTTCATTGTTGTGACCAGATCTTTGCTCCATGCCTTTACTCTCCTTTATACTCTGTTTGAATGAGGTTGCCTGGGGAACACCATGACAAGAAAAAATGCAGGGAAGGAGGCGGGAGAATGCATACTGGTAGAAAGCGAAGGGGTGGAGAGGTTGACAAAAAAAGAAGAAAACAGGAGTGAAGTTTATCAGGGGGGTGGGAAGAAGAAGAGGAGGACCAGGATTTTAAGTGAAACCCCAAATCAGCTACAAACCTAAAGCTGGTAGCCTCACAAGCTGGGCGGAAAGGCCACAAAGCTGGAGCTGGTGGTAGTAAATAGAGAGAGTAACAAAAATAGGCAAAGTAAAAGAAACAGAGGAGTCTATATGAGCTGCACCTGATTACCATGTAAATGATCGAAGGGGGAACTGTGGAAAGGATGCTTTGTTTTCTCATAACCCCCCTTGATGCCATCATGATACTTCCCTTTGATAGCCTTTCGTTCCCCATTAGTGTACCCCTGAGACACAGCTCCGGGCCCCGCTGAGAGCACCCCGAGATCCCCATTTAGGGCCAGGCAGTCCCCTACCGTGAGGACAAATGTTCCCTTTGTGCGCGCGTTACAAGCAGGGGAAGTGGGAGCAGTCCTGTAGCACTGAGCTAAAATGTGCTTTGGGTGTTCTGAGTAGATGTAGTTACTACAGCGCTTTGTTTCCTGCCTTTCAGAGCACTGAGAAGTGCGTAACTGAGAGGTGGACCTTTGCCCCTTCTATTAAAGTGCTCCACAACCCTTTAAGCTAATCGTTTTCATTTGGGATGCTTCTTACTAAAGCTGCTTCAAGACCGAATACAGTACAGTACGGTTCTATTTGAGCCCATAGATGCAAGCGAATGCCTGGATTAGGTTCAGTAGCTAGGTAGGACAGTCAATAATAAAACATGCCCAAATTATGAAAATGATGGTAGACAATGCCCTGTACAAGCTGGTGTATGCCCACTGTAGCTTTGTTCACTGACCCTCAACATCATTTAGGGCGAACGTAACATGTACTGTAAACAAAAGTAAAAGTAAAAATGTTTTTATTATCAAAACTCAAGACAAAGTAAATGTGCCTGAAAAGAAGACAGTTTAAAATAAATTTCCCCAACATCTCTCTAGAATCTAGAAGACGATTGCATACTGATCCAATCCACCAAACCAGAAAAAAAATTGAGAGTTTTAAGACATTTCTGCAAGACATATCAAGCAAACATAACTGCATACAGCATAACTGAAGACAACTATGCAACAGGATTGGTGTGCAAACATTCAGCCAAGAAATCTGTATACACTGCAAAATCTAACGCTCAGGTTCAGTTCTTCCTGCAAGATTACAAAATTACATAAAGAGGTTTCAAGGTCACTGCTTCCTTAAAGGTGTGTGACATTTAGGAGGATCTATTGGCAGAAACTGAATATAATATTCATAGGTAGGTTTTCATTGGTGTATCATCACCAATAAGAAAAACCTTTCTACGGAGTCCGCCATGTTGAACCACCATCCTTTTACAGTATCCCAGAAAGGACAAACCAAACACTGGGTCTAGATAGGGCTTTTCACATTTTGAGTTTCTCCTACATGCTTGGAAGTAGCAACTTTACTGCTAGATGCAACTAAATCCTACACACCAGTCCTTTTAGCCATGCTTTCTCAGACTCATTCTGAATTGGTCTCAGATGAAAGTAAGGATTAGGGTTATATGTATATATTATGTGTATATTTATTTAAAAAAAGACGACATTGTATATGTGTGTTTACTATCTATATTCTAAAAAAGTGGGTCATGCTTTAATGACCATTGGGAAATGTGGGTCCCAAGGTGAGACCAGTCAAGAAACACTGGTTTAAGCCACAATTTGATCGACTTTAGCACTGCAGGAAAAAAAAAGCAGTCCCCTCAATTATTTGGATGAAACCAGTCCAGCAATGCAGTGGATGGATGGATGCAATTTCAAGATATATGTGGCTGAACTGTATTGAAGACACTCTGGGATCAGATCGTTTGGTCCACATCCAGAGCTTTACTTCTCTTCATTACAGTTGATTTGACTATTACAAAAAATTAAAAAATAACCACCACCACTTCTGTAGTGCTACAGCTGGCTACAAATATGTATTTTGTTTCTGTTCAGCAGCTCTCACTGTTTCCACACAGATAAAATCAAATGTACCCACGCATGTGAAATCTAATCACAAGTGGTCTCTTGAGGTAAAGCCAGCTGTGAACAGCAGTCTATCTCAACTAGATCTAGACACACTCTGGATATATCTAGATATGGCCACAGCAGCATCAGAGGTACCAGAGCAGCAAGACAAGGAGGTGTAAATGATGGCCTAAGAGGAGGGCTTTCACCCTCAACCAGACTGATTGAGAAACAAATTGTGGCAAATAAAGCATGTAATTAGATTATGGAGCCCAGTGTGCTGTCCTGCTCTGTGCTGAGCTGCTTGCACCAGAGCCATGAGTTTGGATCCTATCCAGCAATGACAGAGAGAGAAAGGGGGAAAGAGAGAGAAGGAGTCCCCACTTCTTTTCTCAATGTATTGCCAGAGTGTAAAAGGTATTGTGTTTTTCGGCCTGTGACGAGGCTGTTAGAGTTATTGACCTGATTTGAGACTTTACTTTTTGGGTGGCGTGCAATCAGTTTTGATGAGTTGGATCATCCTCTTTTACTGTAACTGACGAGAGATGAGTCAGCAGGGACTCCTGTTGGTTATCACCCAAAACATAGACACAGAGAGAGGAAGTAACCCTGCCAGGGTTTTCATGTCATTAAAAATGGTTTTGGGAACCAAAAAGTAAATTGTATGCAAAGGTTTTATATTGATAATGAGAATGTGAAACTACAAAATGTCTTTTACAATTATTTCTCCTCTCATTCTCTCATACAATTAAGTGGTGTAATAAGATCCAATGTTGATATGACTGTAAAGTGCGGCGGAGTTGGCAAGTACCAAACAGGGTGTGTGAAGCAAGACTCATGTCCAAAAAATCTAGGGAGGGGTCCACTAAACTGAACCCCGCTACCCTCATCATCGTCACTCCAATTCTCCTTCTCCTCATCATCATTAGTTACTTTCACATCCTGTGTATCCTGACAGGCCCGGGCGGCCATCACAGGTCATCAGCGGTTAATCTCCTCCACATTTCGTTGCTGCGCAGACGTCTCTGTCACGACCCGTGGGAGTGGCGACTCACACCATCCGTGACCTACCAGCACAATGTGTGTTTTGTCTGGGCCACACCATCGGAGGTATTCTCCATGCATTCCAGCCCTCCGTGTGGTCGAGAGGGGGAGAGCCCTGCTGCAGGAGACAAATTAATATCCACTCCATTTTCCCTCACGCCCTCAATTCACCCGCCCCCCCCCTCTTTCGTTCAACTGAGGCGCAACAAGGCACCTGCCTCACAGCTGTCAGCCCAACACCCCCTGGTATCACACACACAACACAAATGTGTTTTTCCTTTTTTACATTTGTTTCTAAGTGAAAATGTCTTAATTAATCCTCAAATTCTTCCTTATTTCTTCGGCATTCTCTCCTCCTTCCCCCTCTTCATACTGTTTTCTTCCCCCCTCCATCTACTCACTCTTCTTTCTCTTTTCCTCTGTTTTTCATTTTTCCTCCATCCTCCATTTGTTGTTTTTCCTCCACATCCTTTTCGTTTTCAACTTCCCCGTCTTCTTTTCTCCTCCTCCTCCTACTACTACTACTACTACTACTACTACTACTTATAATAATAATAATAATAATAATAATAATAATAATAACAGTATTTTTAAAGAATGTATAATATCAATATTTAATCTAGTGCAGGTATTTTTAGTGGGGTGGAAAATATAGTTTGATGCTCTGATAAAATCACCACATCTGTTTGCAATCACATATTAGGTGATATCAGAGCTGCCGAGCAAGAGGTGCATTTGCTCTGCAACCTTCTGAGGAGGCTCAGAGGGTAATATATGCATCCTCTGGGCCTCAAGCCCGGGTGGTCCAGTGGGACCCGGGGCTACTCACGATTCTGACATGGCCTACGCAGGACGTCCATCAAGGTGCTCCACCTTGCAATCTGCTTGATTTCAACCTCTCTGGGCTGAACAGTCTCGTGCCCATTATACACACAAGAGGGAATTCACAGAACTTTCTGTTGTGATTAGATTAGGGGTATAGCTACGCCGTCAGAGTCATTCCACAGTCTCCTTCAGGTTGTGTTTACATTAGTTCAATGACACGGTTTAATCAATGGGATTATTTGCCTTAAACCAGGATGTAGCTACAGCAAAAGATTTCACATAACAACAGTGAATTGGGGAGAGAAGGTACGGGTATTGTTTTCATACAAAAAATACATATGTCCAAATGCATTTTTTTGTTTAAATGTTGAAATCCTAAAACGGAAAAGTAATAAATATGCGGATCAGCTTTGCATTTATTCAAGTTGATAAAGTAATACAGGTCCTTCTCTTACTTATCCAGTAATCCCTCAATGAGGTGAGGAAAATGTCCTGCACCCCAAAAGTGGACAGATTCCTGACAAAGGGGCCCAGAGAAACTCCAGATATTCTAGCTCAGCACCACCCACAGTGTTATGTGAAGACAAAGCGTGAAACAGAGGGAGACGAAGGAAGTGGAGGAGAGCGAAAAAAGACTGAAAGAGAAAATAAAAGAGGTGGAGGAGGGTTGGGGACCGGCTGTATCCTGACTGTGCTGTCAATTGAAGCTGTCCAGGGAACGTTTGGGACCTCAGAGGGCCCAACAACAGCTGCAGGAGCCTCTTACACACACACTCACATACACATATAGGTTGGGCCTCCTGCAAACTTCATGGGAGAGACAGAGCAAACATGCAATGCCAGATGACTCAATTCTTTCCAGCATGAGGCCAAAAGACAAAATGAGGAACTTAGTCCTACAGGATTTGTACAGGTACTGTATGTTTATTAAGTGTACGATGCAAGTTTTTGTGTTGCACATTTGTAGAATTTATGCCATGGACTGTGCAACTGTATTTTAATAATATAATATAATTCAGCTGAAAATTGCTACAAAACCCACTGGCATTTAACTAGAGATTACATAAATAAATAAGCTCACAAGTCTAGAATCTCTAAGTGGTAATACTGCAAGAATCAGTCCAAACAGATCAGAAGTGAGAAATTGCATCTGATGTACCACAACTAATCTGGATGTCATATCCCGTCCTTAAAAATACAGCAAACTCTGCAAAGGTACACTATAATTTCCAACACAAATCATTTGGTGAAGTACTATTGAATCCTGCACTAAATTACAAGATCCAGTTCCCTCAATCAGTCCTTCCCTCACTTTACGGCATCAGACTGGGAAAGAGGGAGTTTGGAGAGAGGAAAAAATCTAATCAAACAAACTGCCAGGCCCCCGTGCTGTATGCTGGACCAACACCCCACTGTGCCGCAGTTAGACTGATTAATTGTGAAAGTGTGAGAGATTAAAGGAGGCACATCCCACGGTTGCTGCTAATGGATTTAATATTCATGAACCCCTAATAAGGAGGGGGAAGGCATGAGGGATCCAATTTATCCAGCAGTCTGGTTTTTTTTACACTCGTGGAAAAATATTGTAGCAAAGCGTGGAACTGTTTGAAAAATCCCACAACCATTTATGCTGCCACAAAATTCTCCTCATCTTTATTTTATCTCATGTGGATGAGTAGAAAGATAAACATAAGAAAAATGAAATAAATGTTTGACTCTCAGCTGTACTCACCTGATGGCTCCTCTGTACTGCTCGATGGGGTTGTAGGAGGTGCAACTGGAATCTCTTCTCCCAGAGAAAAACATAACATAGACACAAAGAAAGATCAGTTTCATTATTATGTGCATTAATACATGTGTTTTTGCCTTTGTGTGCATGCATGTTGGTGCGGTGTGTCAATTGATAAGGGCGTTAAGACAGAACAATTTAAAGAAATTTAAATATATCAGTGTTAAGCTTCTTAGTTCTGTGATTTTAGTTTTTTTCAACAGACAAGATTTTGGTGTGAAGTAGTTATGGTCGATGGTAGGAAGCAAATTTCCTAAATACCCTACTGACGGAGGGGGTTGTATTTTGTCTCTGTTTCTTCTTTATTCACACGAAGATTCACCTAAATTAGATAGAAGAGTAACGTTGTGTGCTGGTGGCTCAAAAGCTTACGATGCACCACAGCACTGCAACATTGCCAATTCTTGTTGCTTGATCTTGTTGCTACTTTCAAATCAGAGGCATGAAATACAAAAAAAAAAAAAACTAGGCAATAATTTGTATGATCTGGGGTCCAAAATGGGAAACGTGCACATAAATTAAGCTTGGTAAAGTGTAGTAATAAAGTTGTTTTCCTCTATGTCCTATTTCTCTACTATTGAATATTTCATAATTTCTTGTCTTCTTCAATCACCCACAGTTAATTTCAAGCCTTTCTCTTTAGCCATCTGACCAATAAACATCCTGCATTCTACAAACTAGTCACATATTGGATGTTCATACCAAAATATGGACTATTCCCTGTTTCTCTGCCTAACCTCTCTCAGCTCTACCGATGCTGTCTAATAAAGGCATACATTGACAAAAAATGATTTAAACTGAGAAGGTTTCGTCATCTACCTGTTGTCTCTTCACCACCAGTGTCCTGGTTGGATCCTGTGAAATGCCTTAAATAAAGCCTCCTCTCCAAAATCTTTGCCTTTTGTTATTTAGATTCATAATAAATGTTGTCAACCTTCTTTAATGAATCTTTCATTTTCATGTTATGATTTCTCTGTTTCATCCTCCTCCCTTGTTCCCTGCTGCTGTGTAAAAAAACTACAACAGAGCTGTACAACTGTCCAAAGACTTGATTCTCTCAGCCCTCCTTCATACTCTGTTGTATTCACAAGTGGGTAGGAAGTTGACACTCAGAGAAATCATGCATGAATAGCGGCACTCTTATCTCCAAAGGAGCAGGATGGCAACAGAAGATATAAAACCCACATAATGCCTTTTTGTTATTGTGGGCAGGAGGGAGAGAAGAGGCCTCATCAAAAAGTCTGTACAGGGGGAATACGAGGACAAAAGGCGAAACCACAGACATGTATCAAAGACACATGCAAAGAAAGAGGTCGACACGTTGAGTAAAGAGGTGCACAACAGTGGTGATTTCAGCTGTGCAAAGGTGAAGACTTTGTGTGTATTAGGGAAGAAAGAAAGAATCAAGTCTTTTGAGTGAGTAAAATCAGATTTTTCTCAGCTGTGATTGAGCAAACCTGCTTCCTAATTTCAATGTATACAACATTTATGTCTATTGTGCAGCATAAATCAGAATTTGTGATATGTACGCCTGTTGTTGACTTCTGGGCATAATGAAGCCTTTTCCCATGACGAATTGGTCTGTATAATGACAAGAAAAACAATTGATGCCAAAACAATGGCGCCTGAAGCCCAGAGGTCCCTTCGCTCATGTTGTTGTTGATCAGCAATCTTCCATCAGTATTCAGCCGCCACGCATGCCAGTTTAAATAATGAGCCTGCTTCTCATAATCGACTAGTGTGGATTTATGGCTGACAGCGCTGGAAGGTGTACATGAAGTCGAAGATATAATATGACTCTCTGTTAAAATGAAAGTTGGCAAGCGCTATCGCTGAATCTACCAGAGGGCTGTTAAAGTTTAAACTGGATTACATTATCAGACAGGGAATTTATTTCCATCTCACAGAGATCATTGGATGTTTGACACTTACATTCTTACTTGACATTCCCAGGAATCAAACATATCTGAGTCAAGTCAATTTAATGTATTCCTTTATGGGACCTCCGCCATGCGTATCCATGTAGAGATTTATTCTTCATAAGGTTTTAATCCCTAGTATCTAATTATAATGGCAAGAGCAGCAATTAATGAGACAAAAAAGCCAATAAATAACTAGAAATTGCCATTCACTATGCAGCTTTAAGTCTTCAAGTATAGGCCTTCCCTGAGGCGATTTCATCATTTTGACTATAATAGAAGGGCATATTTTGGCTTATAAATGGTCACTGGATGCTGAGAACAAGATTGATCTTGTAATTCAATCCAAAGCTTTCTGCACTCCTACCAAATACACTTTGGGGATCGGAGATGCTGGTGATAACAGCTCTGGGTCTTTGCTCAGATTTATGGAGACCAACAACCCGAGAAGGCTGTGCTGCCGTAAACCTTGAGGTTTCGGTTTAACGGTGTGTTTATTTAAGCTAGCAGATTTACTGGTCAGAAAACCAACAGTCGGACACTAAGAACTTGTCTGAAGAAAAGGATGAGAGGATTTAAATAGTGTAGGAGTTTATGCTCTTACAGTGTGTGTTTGTGTGTGTAGCGTACTGTGTTATGTGTTGAATATGCACATTACTGTAGTGACTGTGTGCGTCCCTCCCTTTCAAATGTGTGCAATAGACCGTATTGCTCCTACGGTGAGGCAGATATGGTAAAGACTTGTTTCCACGTACTTATGCAGGGGGCAATGGGCGAGCGGCTCTGCTGGTAGCCTTTAGCACAGCGGTTGCATGTGATACCAGTCACGCCGTCTTTACAGGGACATTGTCCTGTGGTTTGGTTACAGGTTTTGCCAGCAGCACCCACGGGATGGCAATCGCATGCTGTGAGGAAACAGAGGAAGAAAGAGAGGCACAGTGAGTGGTCACACACAGACACGCACACACACACATGTGGGGAGATACAAACATATACTATCTGTAGAGAGTGCAGGTGGGTACACGGCAGCAGTGGTGGCAACAATAATAGAGTGGTGAGAGACAGGTGGAGGCGTGCAGAGACAGAAGACACCACGGCGCTGGTTATGAAGCAACTGTGGCATCGTGACAAAAAAGACCAACACATCCTCTAGGTCTAAAGACATTTTGTGACATTTTGCCGTCGTTTGCTAATTAGCAAATTAGCATGTAACCATCACATCTCCCATAATTAAAAGCTGCTGAGATACAGTACAAGCATGAGCTGAACTGTCGGTCTGTGTGTGCTCAGCATGTGGCTGTTTGGCCTTGGTGTGTCTGTCAGTGTGTGAGCGCTCTGTGGGACAGCGGCTGTATGTGTGAGGTAAAAAGAGAGGGGTTGTGCATGTTTACCGAATGATAAAATAATGGAGGATAATCCTAATTGCCTGTTTCTGATTTCTGCTGGGCTTTGAACGCCAGCCCAAAACGTCTGTCACACTTCCTCCAGAAACTGGGGGGTCTATCGAACACATATGCCTCAGGAATGTAATCATTTTCCAATTGCTCTCCCCAATGCAAGCCCTTAATTTATTTCACAGCCAAACCCCTGTCAGGTTTGAAATCATTGTTGAATAATAGTTGTCTGAGAGTTGTTTCTTTTCATCTATTTCTGGATATAAATAGTAGTGACTCTGTTACGGAGAGTAGGTTGAATTTATAGTCTTTACAGTAAATCCTGACTCTAATCCAGACCAGAACAAGTCTTGATAATCTACGACCAATTTCCACTTCTTTACTCCGAAAATGCTGTTAATCACCAAACCCTCACCACTATATCCCTCACCCTATAAGTGTTATACTTTCTGTTGATTTGCTGTGGAAAACCAGTGATGCTGACTTCCAGCCTCAGGGTCGGGCTGGCTGTGCTCCTCCCCTAAAGATTTTTTTCTGCATTGTGTCACTTGTCACTCTGAAAGCCTTCAAAGGCAAAGCTGAATTATGTACTTTGAGGTTTGTGGGGGTATTTAGTGGCTTGGCCTGTTTTGTTTTTAACCACACGGTCTGTTCTGCCCACAGTACAAAAATTATAGCTTCAAAACATCTGAACAATCTGTTCATTTCGACCTACTGCATTGCAATTAGTGTTTAATATGCATAAATGTCAAAGCAAATAACAGAAAAATGAATATAAAGCAAAATTATGAAGCTTATGCATACAATCAAAACCAGAGGTTTATTAATTTATTAGTTTAAATAATGTAATCTGACTGCAGGAACAGATGGTATTTGATTGTTCTGTTTCTGTCTAAAGTGACAGTTGTAATGTAATGTGTTCCTTATCTCTACTTCGACCTAGAGCGTTGATACGGTTGTTATTCAGTTGGGCTGTATGAGGGACACACTCTCTGGGAGATCCACATTACAGCAGGCCTCAGGGAAAAGACTGCTGTAAAGTGGTAATGTAATACCGAATCTGTTCTCTTTATGATAGATGTCTTGGAAACAACATAGTTGTTGTTTTGTGAGATATTTTGACTGAAGTGAAGCAAGCAAGATAACTCTATCCTATGGCTGAAGTCTATAATTCTGGGTTCCAGCAGGCCACTATCTCTCTCTCTCAACACACACACACACACACATACACACACTCACTCTCTCGCTTTTATCTCTATTGCTTGTTTCCTGTGATTCAGCTTCTGTTGCTACTCTTATCTGTCCTCTGTGCGCGCACGTGTGTGTGTGTGTGTGTGTGTGTGTGTGTGTGTGTGTGTGTGTGTGTGTGTGTGTGTGTGAGAGAGAGAGTATGTTCTTATCAGACTCAGAGAAGCCTCCTTAAAAGTGTGTGTATCTATTGGAACCTTTATCAGACCAATCTGTCACCGCTTTCATTGCTTAGTTGTGTCTAGCTCAGTGGGAGCAACTGCGCACACACACACACACACACACACACACACACACACACACACATACACACACACACACACACCAAGGAAGCCCAATAAACAGCGTGGAGGCTGGTGCAGCACGTCCTCATGGCTGTAAATTTAGGAGTATGTCAGAGGAGTTTGAAGCACGGGAGGGCAAAGTGTGTTTCTGGTTGGAGCTTCAGAGAGCTACGTTTATATTTTTAAGAGCGTCTGCCTGGTAACCACAGCTCACAGCCTCAAGCTTGCCAGTAAATCAAGGTGCACAGCACATGGTCTACAGGTGGGAAACACTCCAGCCTCCCTCTGCTCTGACTGACTGTCTGACCCGCTGTCCGGTTTGCATGACAAATTGCCTGACTCCCTGGCTGGGTGACCCACCTGTTGGCTAAAGGACTGGCTTACTCTGGAGAGATGCGAGTGAGAGTTTCTGGTTTAAGTGTGTGTCCACTTAACGGTTAAGTGGCGCAGCTTCATGGCTACTACAGATGGCTCGGGGAGATACGGGTCCAAGAGAGCAAGAGGCCCTTTTTTGTCTCAACACTTCCAGCGAGAAAAAAGTAACAGACGTTTATGATAAGAAGAGTAGGCATGTGTATATAAGAGAACCTGTGTCTTTCCCCCTAACAACATAGAACAGAGTTCTGTCGGAATTCCTAAAAGAAGCTCTTGGCGCTGGGAGTTGCGTATAAAAGAATGAAAAATGTTCTTGGTTAATGGGGAGAGTGGAAGGCCTTTTTTTCAAAGGCAGGCAGTCAGGCCTGAGTCTGAGATTGCACAATGTGAGAATTTTGAACTCTGCCAATCGTTTACCATAAAGCTGGTGTTTTAAGTCTGAACTCCGCTCCCCCCATTTGGTTTGTGTGTGCTGTGCCAATAAGAATAATTTGTTGGCCCTGGAGTGAAGCCAAGCTCCCCGAGTCTGTGTTCTATTATAATTAGGTTTCTGCTCTTCCATAAGTATAAAAAAAGGAGAAATAGATAGTGTTATTGGGTTGTTGCACTACACATAAACAGCTCTCTAAATGACGTGTTTATCTAATAGAGTGTGTCTCGCGCGTTGTGTTGTTTAGTGTTTTATTGATCAGAATAATAGGCTGCAACGGCCCCAACAGCCATGCTTTTGGGCCACAGAGCGAGCCTAAAATGTTGGACATGAGCTTGTTTTGTGATTGTTTGATGCACAACATCGCACATGTGTGTTGTTCTAAATTGAAAACATGCAGATATCAGCACACCCATGGAAATCCAAAGCTCAATGTGAAGTCATGAAAAACAATATTTTCCAAATCCCAAGCAGAAAACATGTTATATGCGGTCAATAAAAAATAAAAAAAACCTACTGTGTCAATGGAAGACATATGCTGACGAGCGGGGGGTAGGGTTTTTAGTATGTTATTCTGATTGAAATAGACCATCCCTCAATCAAAGGCTAATTACCCTCTGTATGCAAAATATGTTCCTCATCATCCCACCGACTGATGTAATTATATGATGGTTGATGTTCAGATTCGAATGTGAAGGCCTGAATTCAACCCATCGGTCGCCGAACCCAACGCCAACGTGCTCAAGCTTGATTTTATTAAGTTTAGACGGTCCTCTGAGGAGGACTAATCAAGAGCAGTGCTCATTATTGGCGAAAGACCTCTTCTGTAGTTATCATTGTCATTCAACATACAGCTGCTGACTCCACATCAGTATGGGTTCTTAACGAAATCCCTAACTTTTAAGACAAAGTTAAGACAGGCTTTTAAAATCAGCACCAGGGTGACAAACAGGGATAACAGGCAGCTGAGTAAACTCAATGGAGAGTGACATTTATTATCTCAGTAATATGTCAAACGTGTTCAAACACCACCCAGAGTGCTGCATCTCTTGGTCTTTTCAAATATCCCCTTTTTAAATTAAACTATCGAATACGCTCAACATGTTTTATTCAGAGGTTTCAAACAGTTAAAGATACAAACAAGAGCCGCTTGAAACGTACTCTGTGTTTATACTCTAACTCAATGAGGGGTGAAGTTATAAATTTCTGCGTGTAAATGTAGCCACCGGGCACAGCTCACTCTGCAGTGGATAAGCTGCTGCTCTCTTTCCCACTGGTAATGGCCTCCTATGGAAATGAGCTGCTTTCGGGGAGGATTGTATTACGCATATAAAAACAAACTCTTGTGCTCCTCGACCTGTGCTTGTTCTCCTCCAAAAGTCGCACAGCAAAAGGGCTCTCTCTCTCTTTGAGTTCAATAAATAACCAAACCTCTTAATTGCTGTCACTTCGGTGCAGTGCTCGTGCTGCTTGAGGAGTGGACAGAAATTAGTTCTGCGGTTTGAGTTTCATTGAATTATCTTGAGTTATGATATGGTAAACCTGAGAGAATTTGGCAGGGCGAGACTTTGACAACCCATATAGGTGTTTGACATAGGAAAAAAGCTGTGTGTGGCAGTTGTAAGTATATTAACAGAGAGAGAAAGAGGCAATGTAATACAATGACACACATCTTTTAAGTCTTCATCTGTAGCTTTCCAAATATAGTTTGCAAAAATGTTTTAATTGGCAAAAGAAACAGTTCATGCTTCGTATCATTTGTCAGCTTGGGGTAATTACCACAGATCCTTTATTGTAAGACTGTTTTGATGTAACTGAATAGCTCAGTAGAAGTTGGACAGTGTTTGCTTATAATTTTACATGGCCGGGAAAGATGGGAGGTGTATAAACTCTGGCAAATTTCATGGATTAAATTGAACAAAACCGTTTGTGTAAGCTGACAACTTTATAAATGATGATGAAATGTGTTTATATTTTAGTTTGTTGAGAGGCAGGAGAGAATGTAAAGGAGTCAGAAGAGAGTTTCTTATGTGGGTGACATGATTTACTATTTACTAGTTTGGGTATAAGTATGACACGATTCTGACATGATTATCTTATAACAATAATACTATAGATTATATTTAATTGTTGTAAAATTCCACTGAGGGTGCACAGCAAACCACACTGATGCTGTATTTTTGAGGTGTAAGTTAATGATAATGTAATTGTGCATGACGTTGTAGCTAATGTTAGAATGACATTAGTAATAATGAAAATAATATTCAGAGCTATTTCAATATTATATTATCTGTCAATAATTTTTTTCAATTCATTTATTTATATTTTAGTCTTGCAAAATGTCAGAAAATAGCAATTACAATGCTCTCAGAACCCAAGGGGGAGTTTTGTCAAAATACAAAGATATTCACACTATATAACTATATATAAATATTCACATCTTGTAAGCTGAGAGCAGATCATTTTTGGCATTTTACTTGAAAATAAAAGGAAAAAAATGAAAGATAAATTAGAAGAAAACTAAGTGACTGAGAAATTTCTGACATTCTTTATAAAATTGAAATACACACAGAAGTGTAATTATGGTAAAATAAATGTTGTATGCATTAATGTCACATTAGCAGCATGTTTCCCTCAGTCAGAGCACCAAGTAGAGTCAGAAAAGATGGGAAAAGCAGCCAGTACAGAGACAGAATCCATGCACATAGACAGAAGGACAGAAGAAGATGAAGGAGGCAGAGTTCCTGTCAGATACCAAATCAGTAGCATAGTTATCAAAAAGCTTTACACAGACATAAAATACAGAGACAGCCCCACAGATTAACTACGTACTATACATTAGTTTACTCCAGATGCCAGAGGTCCACACCAGGGGCATTTTTCACAGCTTTTGACTTTCACTGCATGACTCATTTATCCAAAGTTTCCTAACATCAAACTTGTCATCATCAGCGTATGCGAGCAGATTTCCACATCAGTGTAAACTGTTTTATAGTTTTGGTAAAAACATCTTGTCAAACTGAGGTTTTCACTCATGTTTTTTTTTTTTTTTTTGCTTTCATTTTGCTTCCAATGATGGGTTTGTTCTTTTCTGGTGACCCAAATGTTGTCTGCTTGCTTCCAAGGTCTTTCATTTCAGTGGCTAGCAAACTCACCACTGTAAGCAGTAAAAAATAATGAAAAGCAGTCTGTAATCATCAAAAATATGCTGGATCAATCATTTGTTTACTGATTAAAGATAAAACGGTCTCCATCATCTAAAATGTGTACAGCATTAGAGAAAATTGCAGTATAATGATAAATAATACAGTCAATTACTAATTCAAATATGATTGAATTATTTACCAGACATGAATGTAAAAATAGGATAAAAATACTGTATTTTGGAAGAGATCTTCCTAATTTGTAATAACTAGAATGTTTTTATGCTACATAATATTGTGTCTACTGAATATTGTAAACTCAACTTTTGTCAGGAAGTGCAAACAAAGTGACTAAACAATTCTTAATTCTGTAGTGAAACGGACAGCACCTTGAGGCATCTAACCATTTCTGTTCTGAGAAACAAACCCCCATGAAAGTGAGTTATGGGATGCTGAAAGAATCAAGTCTTGGACACATGAGAAGAGGTGTAAAAACAAGGAAAAAAAAGAGGTTAAATTTCCACAATTAGCTCGCCTTGGTAGACACAGAGGAGGATAGGGGTTAATGATACACAACGTCCCCATCGTGATGAATGTGTGTTTGCATTCCTGCTTGACAGGAGAATGGGCCCAAAGCCACGCAAAGGTGTTAATGTCAGTTTAGTAATATCACTCATGAGTGGCTCGAGGGGTGAAAAAATGGATGCATTTGTCAGAGAGCTTGTGTTATGAATGTATGTTCATGCAGAGAATGAGAAGTGCTTGATATGGCTGCTGGATGTCAGGAATTTAATGAGGCTTCTTTTGCATTAGTTTGATAAATGTCTTGTTATGGCGGAATGAAGCATGTCATTGGGGCACATGCACTTTCTGAAAAGGGAAAAGGTGAAAACTATGAACTGAAGTATCACCATTAGACCATTGAGGACAGATTTTTGTCTATTAGACATACAGCTGAATAAAACACATCTTCCCATTGTTTTGTCTGAACGTTGATTCTTTTGCAGCTATTTTACTTTTCAGACATGCCTTCTGTCAAACTGACTGACTGGTCAGTTTATTTATTTACTCCCTGGTGAATGATATGAGCGAACTCAGGCTTAAACTGTCAGCAGACAGCTAATATTTCCTCCTGGACTGCCTTGGGAAGTGAGACGCTCTGAGACTCTCAAACAGGTATACATGTTTTTCTGTGTATGTGTGCGCAAGCTGTATCTATACAGAGTGACTCTGAGGTGTCTCTGGGCTTGTTTGCACAGGGATTCAGGGCTCCTGTTATCTTTTCCTGCAGCTATAGAAGAGGTGAGAAAACATACCCTCACTCTTTCAGTCGCCCCCCCCCGCCCCTCGTCTTCCTCCGCCTCCTCCTCCTCCTCCTCCTCCTCTCTTTCTTTGACCCTTATTAGCTACGGTGAGGGCTGATGGCAGGCGATTCATCCAGCACTTAATAGTGAGCACACCTGCGTGGGGGTGTGTTCCTCCTGTTCTCCTTTCCTTCCTCTTCTTCTTAGCCTCCCTCCCATCTTTCATGCTCTTGCCAGCCCTCTGAACCTGAGTTTTTGTCTCCTCCTTTCCTTTTCTCCCTGTCCTGCAGCCCTTCCACCAATCTTCCTGCATTCTCATTTGTCTTTGACCTACACTGGAGATCACTTCACACCTCAGCTCTGTTTGTTTTGCTTGTCCTGTCATCCCCTCACCCCGCTCTCCTCGAACGAAGCAAAATAACTCAACTGTCGATGAGGGAACACCCAGCCCGACCCGCCCATACCAACACTACCTCAACAATCCCAACAGACCCCCAACTCATCTCCGCTGACAGAGGAAGATGAGGGTGAGACAAGCTCAGGAATGAAAAGACTGCTGACTTCCCCCACTTCCTGTAACTCATCTAAAACTATTTCCTATCAGACCCATATAATCTGGCTGGTATCGAGCATGTAAATGCATTTTTTCCCCCTCTTGCTATCTTGATAAGCAATTGAAATTTTAGAGAATTCCAATCACGTGGTCTTAAAGTTTTCTTTAAAAGCCAAATGGATAGAGATGTGTGTGGTGGCCAGAAAAGAAAAAAAAAAACAGAACAAGAGCACTGTACCTTTGCAGGCTTTCCTGTGTGAGATAGGTTTGGACAGGTCTCTGTAGTAGCCCTCCTTGCAGTAGTGGCAGTGGCGTCCAGCCGTGTTGTGGCGACAGTTGAGGCAGACTCCTCCGCTCTTCCTCCCTGATAGCTTGTACAGCTCCATGTTGAAACGACACCTTCGGGCGTGAAGGTTGCAGTTACAGGCTGTGGAGGAAATAAGACAAAGATGCAAAAAGGTTGAACTAGCGTGAAACAAGTAGGTTACAGCCAAATTTGTGCTGGTTATCAACAACAAAGTAATTTAAATGATCGTGTTTTCTGCATTACATTGTATTGTGTCCTAGACTTGGCAGCTTACAGGTGCTCATGTAAGCCTTTTTGAGAGTTCTCTGGATGTCCTTTCAGGGGTTTTGATGTTTAATATTGTCTTGTTTCTCAAAGTAAATTTTCTTTACCATTGAATTGAATTGACATAAATGAAAAAGGTACGATGATATTATGAAAGACTAATCACCTCAGCAGTGGAATCATAAATCAATTATTCACTCTCATTTTAAGTTATTTGTCAGTTTAAGTCATGGTGTGGTTAGTTAGAGAGTTATCTAATAACTTATATAATAGGCATTACTACTTTTGCTATGGTTAACTCATGTTTTATTAATTCCTTATACTGACGGACATCCATTTCCAGGATATTTTGCTTGTGTTTTCAAGAGTTAAGTTGAGTTTAAACTCCTCTGATAATGAGGTCAGTGCATCCTTTTCCTACCTATCTCCGGTTGTCTTTTTCTTTCTTTCACTAAAATACTGCACTCCTTTTTCTTTTTTTTTTGAGCTCTTTTCCTCAAGGTCCTCACCTGCTCTCCAAACTTTACTAAATAGAAGGTGAAAGCCTGGTCTTACCCATCCTCCATTCCCTGCAAATCCCTGCGAGCGTGTGTGAGACCCCTCGCTGCCGCTTGTTTACTGATGAGTACAGTTGCCAGCACTGAGTTTAATTAGCCGGCTGATGTTTATTCATGACTTTCTGGCAGCAGAGTGAGGCAGACATGCCCAACTTCATTAAGGCCGGCCGTCCGAGACACCGGTCCTCCACCACTACCAGCACAGACACATTCATGCATTATTAACAGCAACACTTCTGATACAGTTTGTGGCTCCACTGTGAGTGGGTGCATACTGTACTGCATGTGTGTGTGTGTGTGTGTGTGTGTGTGTGTGTGTGTGTGTGTGTGTGTGTGTGTGTGTGTGTGTGTGTGTGCGGAAATGGGGGTTATCTGGGTCCAACTGGGGTCCCTTGGTTGGTTCATCTGTCCATGTTTTTCTGCACCAACTCTTCACACAGCTCTTTTCATCATCTGCCTGTCATAATGGCGGAAGACGGAGGACAGCTCTTCCCTCAACCTGGCTTCTTACTGGTTTGTGTGTGTTTGTTGGTTTAGAGTGTGAGTTTTGTGGTGTGTTTTTCCTGGATGTGTGTGTCTGTTTGGGACCCCCGAGACTCCTTCTCTCCACTCCAAGGACCTAATTACAATATCTTTTCTAAAATACACATACAGTACACACACACCCACACACACACATTAGCAGCTCTGTGCCTTATCAGTAGTGACTTGGCTTTCTGTCTTTCCAGCAGGACGGCAGGGGTTTAATTAGTGATAGATCTCTGCTGGTTTTCCCTCCCTGCTTCAGAATGTGCTTCACTATGTAATGACTGCAATGCAAAAAACAAGACTTTTAATGCCACAAGACAATGATATTTCCAGTAGATTTTTTTTCTGGGAAAATAAGACACGTTTCACCTTGAGAAAATCCGGGTTAAAACGATCATCTTTACTCCTGTGTCCCGTGGACTCACCTGACTGGATTTAGACCTATCCTTTTCTTAAAGTGACACAGATCTGATGTTTTCATTGTTGTCTTAAGCTAGATTTACACCTGTGCATGACTCATGTTGTTAGCCTTTCAGACAGCAGGGCAGATTCTTTGCTTTCTGGTTCCATTGGAAAACCCCTAAAGCCCACCGATAGACACAACCCAACAGTGTGTGTCTATTTCATTCATTTTGTTACATTTATTTTAGCCACAGAGATCAATTGTAATTATCAGAAAGCTCTGAAATTATCAATCTGTGTCACTGTGTTAAAAAAAGGCCACCTGAGCTGGCTGTCAATACAGCCAAAGGGCAGGTTCAGTCTCTCTTGTGATTCCAGCTCTGGGTCACAGTTGGTAAAAGCTATCTCTGAACCCGCCTGCAGGTAACATGGATCACTGTAGAGAGGAGTACAGCCGGCCTCAGACCTGCAGACACGTCTCTGTTACACAACAAAGATTGTTTCACACCCTTCCTCAATGAAGACAGGGGAATTCTAGCCTGCCGGACAACACCGCCCCGGTGAGAAAAATGTTGCTGTCCTGGGAGGCATGTTGGATATTGAAGAACTGACAGTGTACAGGCTGGATGTGAAGGTGTGGGGCAGGAGGCCACATTGTGTTTGACGGTATCATGCTTCATAAGGTATTATGTCAGATAATGGGGACGAGTGAGAAGCACTTTATCTAAACTCTCTGACACTGGGCATGATGTAAGCTAGCTCACACAATATCCCTTACACTGTCTACATTGAAAAAAAAAAAAAAACATAGGAGACAATGTTATTGCTGGCACAAATCCAAGTGTTTCATGAGCGCAGACTGTTTTAAAAATTACATCATCACAGCCTTGTCCAAATTAAGATGCATTTAATTCAAAACAATTGAAGATTTGGAAGCCAATATGCCATTTTTCTGGCGTGAGCTCATCAGGTAATCCATTCATGTGGAGTTACCTGTTTCCTTCCATCATTCCCTATTAAGTAAATAATCAACTTGTGATAACATTATGCTGTCAGTCAGACTCTCTGCTCTCAACATTTTGTTTCAATAATTGCTATTTCTTCATTTTCATGTATATTTGCACCAGATTCAGCACAGCAGTGATGTGGTATGTATGTCTCATAAAGACAAGCTCTCATCTCACTTTTGCCACATTAACTCATTACATTTTGATCACTCTGAGACTATTCTCATGTGTGTTATGATATAAATAGTTGAATTTCTGAACGGTAGACAGTTCACACAAGACCCGGTTGGGGTTGCCACACATTAACCACATATATGTGTTTTTTTATGTATGAATGTCAATTTGTATCCAATTTTTAGTTGTGGAAACGCCTTTGTCAACCCAACAGAACAAAGGCAGTTTGATACAGTCACTCCTGGCAGGAAATCTTTGTGTTAAAACACAGATTAGTATACGTTCTAGCTTCCCTAGTTTAAACACACAACATTCCTCACGCTTGCTCTTTACAACCAGCAGGATTCAGGGTTTCTACCCTTCAGCCGAGACACAAAAGCTGAGCTGTAGTGTATTTCAGACAAGCAATCAGCTCACACACCTTCACCGCAAACAAAAGCTGCTGCTGCCATTCTTCAAGGTAAAACACACACACACACACACACACACACACACACACACACACACACACACACACACACACACACACACACACACACACGCTGAGCGCATCGGGTACACTTTAAAGACAAGTTTGCTCATAGCTTTCTGTGATTCAACATTTCATCTACGTGTTAATATGAGAACAATAAATGGTGTCCTATAAGAATTTGAATAACAGTAAATATCATAAAGGGAGACACTCTGCCTAATAAAACATAATGTTTAATGTTGTGTAAGACCTATTAGTTTGAGTAGCTAGTAAATTATAATCTGCTGAAATTTTATTTTCATAATTCACATTAAGAAAGACCACATTTCCCTTTGTAGGACACCTTAAAATGTTTGGCCTGTTTTCAATCAACTGCTTCAGGCTGGATTAGTGTGTCAGTGGTCGGCTGTAACTGCCCCCAGGTGAGCAGTAAAAAGAAGTGTGAACTGATACCTTTAAAACAAGACTAATTGAATTAACTGGATAAAGCTAAGCTTACCCAAAGCTTTTCAACGCCTTCTGTAATGTGGACCACAACTGTCGAAAATGACAAAAAAAAAAGAAGAAGAAAGAAATGCTGCTTTTGAGTCTTGCAGCTGTTTTAACCTCATCTGCAGCATTTAACAGGAAACTGTTGTTTATCGGGCGTTGCTGTTTCCCGCAGATCCCAGGAAACACGCTGGCCTCGGCGCAGTGTGTGACTGTGTTATGGAAAGTTGGCTAATTAGTTTCTTTGAGTGGTTCCCAGCCTCTATCAACTGACCTCAGTCTCGTAGGCAGCACAGAGGCAGCCTTCCCTCCGCTAATTAGAGGGAAAATTCAAGCAACAGAGCTGGAGGCTGAGGTTAAGCTCATCACACTTACGATAAGCCTGGTAATTGAGGGATGTCGGTCGAAACCTTGATTTGTTCTAAAGAGACACTCAAGACACTGATCTCTGCCCCTAAATCTGCACATGCTGGATTGTGCTTGTTGTTGTGGCTGCACCTGACAGAAAAATTTTCTCTGAAAATTGAGACTCAAATTAATAAACAGAGCTCATTTACATCTATATTCGATATCTAAGTGTCCACATTGAGAAACTACTTTCTTCTCTGTCAATCAAATAGAAATGTCCAGTCTTTTTGTGCAGTCTGAGGCGGTTACAGGCCACCTCCACCCCTCCACCCAAAACATGTCAGAAAAAGCAACCAAAACCCAACACCACTGCCTGCGAGCAGGGGACCAGCAGAAGCTCTGCTATTCTGTTCCCCGCTTTTAAACAAACACCAAGGGGAGTCTACACATGAACTTTGAATCCTATGGGCGCTCCCAAAAATAATCAGATTAACTTCTAAAACCCCCTCAAGAGAAGATGAAATTGAAAATAAAATGAAATATTGGGTGTCCTCTGCCTTTGCCATGTTTGAGGGTGGGAAAGGTTTAAGAGAAAGTTTAAGTAGTATATATTCAATATGACTTATTTTTGCAAATGTTTTTATGAACTGTGCCCCAAAATATCTGGAACAACTTGATACCCTACTATACTATATAGTGCATTAAATAAAATCATGGCAGTCTGTAAGGCTTTCCCTCTTTCTATCCCCCTCAAACACACAAACACACACACACACACACACGCCTGCTCTCTCTCTGTCACTCTATCTCTCTCTGGGGGTCGATGGGGAAACATAACACACATGAATGTTTGGGAGGATTGCTGCTTGACACGGCAAA